GCAGGGCTCGGCTCATTAACACCTCCGCAGGCTCGGAGCCATCCCCAGCCCTCCTGCCCCAAATTGTTGTGTCTTTTGGCTCCAGTCCTCCCTGGAACGGCTGCAGAGCTTGGGTTTGGGCAGGGAAGGGGAGTTCAGAGCTTGGGGTTGTTCCCTGATCCCGAGGGACCCCCGAAAGCGGGGCTGACGCGGGTTCCTGTTTGCCTTGGCACGGGGCAGGCTCTGGGCTCTTTGTTGAGCCTTTTCTCGTCTCTAATATTCGGATTTAGTTGACATTCTCCTCTCAAATATTCAGATTTGGTTGACATTCTCCTCTCAAATATTCGGGTTCAGCTGACATTCTCCTCTCAAATATTCGGGTTCAGTCGACATTCTCCTCTCAAATATTCAGATTTGGTTGACATTCTCCTCTCTAATATTCGGGTTTAGTTGACATTTAGTCAACATTCTCCTCTCAAATATTCAGGATTAGCTGACATTCTCCCCTCAAATATTCAGATTTGGTTGACATTCTCCTCTCAAATATTCGGGTTTAGTCAACATTCTCCTCTCTAATATTCGGGTTCAGTTGACATTCTCCTCTCAAATATTCACATTTGGTTGACATTCTCCTCTCAAATATTCAGGTTTAGTTGACATTCTCCTCTCAAATATTTGGGTTTCGTCAACATTTTCCTCTCAAATATTCAGATTTGGTTGACATTCTCCTCTCAAATATTCGGGTTTAGTCGACATTCTCCGCTCAAATATTCGGATTTGGTTGACATTCTCCTCTCAAATATTCGGGTTTAGTCAACATTCTCCTCTCAAATATTCGGATTTGGTTGACATTCTCCTCTCAAATATTCGGGTTTAGTTGACATTCTCCTCTCAAATATTCGGGTTTAGTCAACATTCTTCTCTCAAATATTCGAGTTCAGTTGACATTGAGCTTTCTGGAGGCTCAGAAATAACTGAAATAATGACAGCAAGCCAAATAATGACATGAAAATTTCAGGATGTGCTATTATCCATGATAATTTCAGGAGTGCTATCACCTCCCCCTCATTGATGGGTTTGTCTGTCCAAGCCCACCATGATTGTATTTTTGGGGTGCTCCATGGCAGGGCAGGAATGATTGAATCTGACCCCATGTTCTCAGAAGGGTAATTTATTATTTTATATACTATATTATATTAAAGAATGCTATACTATACTGAAGAATAGGATACTTACAGAAGGCTAAAAAGATAATAATGAAAACTCGTGACTCTTTCCAGAGTCCTGACACAGCTTGGCTGAACGAATTCCCAGAGGGAAATTTGTTCATGTTCTGGTCAAGATGCTTAAGCGCTGCCTTATCTCTGACAGCTGCAGGGTTTGACTGGGAGGTTGCCCCACTCTTTATCTGCCTTTTCCTTCCCAAATTTCCCTCACGTGGCTGCAGGACCATCCAGATGCTCCCAGGAATAGAAATACAAATATTTACAAACAGAGCCCTGCGTTCGGTGTGTGGGACAGCGCTGGGAAAGCTTTAACGACCCTTTAGAAACCCCCAATAATGACCCTTTAGAAACACAATAATGACCCCTTCTAAACCCAAATAAGGATCCTTTCTTAACCCTGGGAGTTTAACCCTTAACTCCCCCAATCTGGGAGTTGGGGGCTAAATCAGCCTCCTCAGCTGAATTTTTCAGGAGAGCTTCTGCAGCCCAATTTTGTTTCTGAGGACGGTTTGATGAGGGTTTAAAAATGCTTTAAAAATGCCCTTAAAATGCAAGGAACAGCAACCACTGAGGATGGAGCAGATCAAACCAGATGTTTGGGGATGGAGCAGATCAAGACAGTTGTTGTTGAGGGATGGAACAAATCAAGACAGATGTTTGGGGATGGAAGAGATAAATACAGATATTTAAGGATTGAGCAGATCCAGACAGATGTTTAGGGATGGAGCAAATCAATGCAGATGTTGTTTAGGGGTGGAGCAGATCCAGACAGATGTTTGGGGATGGCACAGATCAATAAGATGTTGTTGAGGGATGGAACAAACCAAGACAGATGTTTAGGGGTGGAACAGGTCAATACAGATGTTTAGGGATGGAGCAGATCAAACCAGATGTTTAAAAATAAAACCTGAAGCTGTCCACATTTTCCTGCAGCGCTCGAGGCTCTGCTGAGGTGAAACTCCTCCCCTCTGGAGTTTGGACTGACAATTCCCACCCGTCCTTCCCTGCCGAGATCCACGGGCATCCCTGGAACTTTCTCTCCATCCGTGAACATCTCCCTGCCCTTGTTTGTCCCCTGGGTCCATGGGGATTTCTGGAACTTTCTCTCCATCCAGGAGCATCTCCCAGCCCCTGTTTGTCCCCTGGGCTGAACCCACCCCGTACCCACTCAAACATCTCCAGGGGTTTGTTCAGACCCCGGTGCTGATGGGCTTGGGGTCAGGGCTGATGGCTGCGACCAGTCCTGGTACTGGATCCTGGATCCCTCTGGAGCTCCTGGATCCAGGATTCTGGATAATTCTGGATCTCCTGGATCTGAGATCCTCAATCACTCTGGATCTCCTGGATTCGGGATTCTTGATAATTCTGGATCTCCTGGATCCAGAATTGTGGGTCCCTCTGGATCCCCTGGATCTGGGATCCTGGATCAATCTGGGATTCTTGATCCCTCTGGAACTCCTGTATTTGGGATCTTGGATCTCTCTGGAGCTCCTGGATCCAGGGTTCTGGATCACTCTGGAGCTCCTGGATCTGGGATTCTGAGTCACTCTGGAGCTCCTGGCTCTGGGACCCTGGATCCCTCTGGATCTCCTGGATTTGGGATCCTGGATCCTTCTTGAGCTCATGGATCCCTCTGGATCTGGGATCCCAGATGCCTCTGGAGTTCCTAGATCTGGGATCCTCGATCCCTCTGGGTCTCCTGGATCTGGGATTCTGGATCACTCTGGAACTCCTGGAGCTCCCTGATCCAGGATCCCTCTGATCCTGCCCTGCCAGCTCCATTCCTGTTGGACAATCCCCTCTCCTCGCTGCCAGAGGGAGCAGCAGCTGCATTTCCCTCCTCCCATCCCCTCCAGCCCTGCCCAGGCTGGGGCAGGACCTGATTTTATTCCTCTTTTAGCTTCACCTCCTGACCTACAAAAAAATTGGCTCCTGGAAACCCAATGTTTGTTTTCCAAGATTTTTTTCCCCCTCATTTTCCCGCCCCATCCTGATTTATGAGATCTGTTGGAAAACCTCCTCTGGCTTTTCCTGTTTCCCTCCAATCCTGGGCTCTAATCCCCGAGCTTCTGTTTCATTTCTCCCTTCCTTGGCAAAATCCTTTTCATTCCAGCAGGAATCTCCATCCCTGCTTAACCCACAGGGAAACTGAGACACAGCCCTGGAAATGTCCTGGAATTCTGATCCATGCCCTCCTCAGCTTTAAAGGCTGTTCATGGATTTTGTAGCTTTATGTGAGGATGTGATTTTTCTGGGATTTATTTTTTTTTTTAGGGATAGACCAGATTTAGGTGAAATTTTGGAGAATTTCAGTTCCTAGACATCTCCTTTGGAGCCAAATCCTCCCCCTTTCTCCTTCCCCTCTGGTGGCTGCCAGGAACCAGCGGAGCTCTGAAGGTCTGGGGAGGTTTTCCCGCTGAGCTCTGGCATTGCTTCACTTGGGAATGATGGAATCCTCATCCCCACGTGTCCTGCCTGACCACTCCACGTGCCTGGGCGCCAGTGGGGAGCAGGAAAAGGACAGGATTTCACAGTATTCCACTCCTGGATGAAATTCCTCTCATGAGTCACAGGAAGTTGTCGATTCCTACCTTAAATTGTGCTGGTGGAGCACTTGGATGCCAACAAATCCCCATCCAGACTTACAACCAAAACCTGGAGATGTTTTCCACTATTCCAAGGTCATCCAAGGCTTCTGCCAAGTGTCTGGTGATGTTTTGAGTTTCTGCAGATGGAACCAGACGTGCAGGAACAGAAATAAATCTTTTATCCCACTGGGAACCCAGAGTTTGGGATAAATCCCTCACTGCTGGCCACGAGATTTCCTCACCCTCCTGCTTTTCCACTGCTCCTGATGGGTTTGGGTTCTCCATGGGGAGAAAAAAGGGGTCAGTTCTGTCCTGGCAGGATTTGGGTGAAGTTTTCCTGCTGGGTTTCTGGAGGAAAACAGGAAAATCATTTGCTACACCTCCCAACACAGAGAATTTTACCTGGGGAAAATGGATTTTTGGGGTAAATGATGTGGCAAGTTGATCTAAACTTATAAATGGGGGAGGTTTCAGTTTGTTTGTTCCACTCCACAAGAAATAATTGAGCTGACTTTGGTTTTTACAGGTGGCATTTGAGGTAATCCCAATTGCCAAGAAAATAATGGAAATAATAATTAATAATAGAAATAATAATTAATAATAGAAATAATCGAAAGTATGTAAATAATAATATAATAAAATAATAATATAATCTAATATCATAATATATAATAATATTTATTAATATATATTCATAAGGTATAAATAATAATACATAATCTATATTATAATATATTATTATAATATAATATAATATAATATAATATAATATAATATAATATAGTATAATATAGTATAGTATGCTATGATATGATATAATAAGATAATAAAGTAATAATAATAAAATATAATAATGGATAAAAATTATAAATAATAAGAAATAAAGTAAATAATAATATATAGAAATAAATAATGATGAATTAATATAAATACTATAATGATATAAAACATATCTATTTTATATAATTTCAAACTTTAATTAAAACCTGATTTTCATAAGAACGTATAAATAAAAATAAAATAAGGAATAATAAGCAATAAAATAAATAATAACACAGAGAAATCAATAAATAATGATGAATTAATATAAATAATATAATGATACAAACCATATCAATTTTCTATCATTACAAACTTTAATTAAAACCTGATTTTCCTCCAGGACAGCCCTGCCTGGCTCTGCCTCTGAGGACTGTGAGCACTGGAAATGGGAAGATCCCGAGTTTTTCCCTCCAACCACTGCGTGCTGCTGCTGCTGCTGGCCGGGCTGAGCTGTGCCCAGTACGAGCCCTGGCCGTACCTGCCCGGCTACCCCGAGCCACCCCCCCAGGTGTTCCAGCCGCCCCAGAGGGCCCCAAACGTGCCCAAAATCCAGCTGAGGCTGGCGGGGCAGAAGAGGAAGCACAACGAGGGCAGGGTGGAGGTGTTCTACAGCGGAGAGTGGGGCACCGTGTGCGACGACGACTTCTCCATCCACGCCGCCAACGTGGTGTGCCGGGAGCTGGGCTACGTGGAGGCCGTGTCCTGGCTGCCCAGCTCCAAGTACGGCAAAGGAGAAGGTGAGAGGATCTTGGAGCGCTGTGGGGAATGCTTCCAGCTCCCACAAATCCCTGATTTCAGTCTAATTGGTGGTGTTGGGGTGTTTCTCTCTCATGCCGGGAGCTGGGCTATGTGGAGGCCGTGTCCTGGCTGCCCAGCTCCACGTACGGCAAAGGAGAAGGTGAGGAAGTCTTGGAGCAGTGTGGGGAATGTTTCCAGTTCCCAGTAATTCCTGATTTCAGTCTCATTGATGGTTTTGGGGTGTTTCTCACTTGGAGGCCATATCCTGGCTGCCCAGCTCCAAATATGGGAAAGGAGAAGGTGAGGAGAACTTGGAGCAGGGAGAGGTTCTTTTCATCTCCCAATAATCCAATAAAGTTTAATTTATGGGTTTTGGGTGTTTCTCTCTTGCGCTGGGAGCTGGGCTACGTGGAGGCCGTGTCCTGGCTGCCCAACTCCAAGTATGGGAAAGGAGAAGGTGAGGAGAGCTTGGAGCACTGTGGGAAATGTTTCCAGCTCCCAAAAATCCTTAATTTCAGTTTAATTGGTGGTTTTGGGGTGTTTATCTCTTGGAGGCCGTGTCCTGGCTGCCCAGCTCCAAGTATGGGAAAGGAGAAGGTGAGGAGAACTTCGAGCAGTGTGGGGAATGTCTCAATCTCCCAATAATCCCTAATTTCAATTTAATTTATGGTTTTTGGGTGTTTCTCTCTTGTGCTGGGAGCTGGGCTATGTGGAGGCCATGTCCTGGCTGCCCAGTCTTGGAGCACTGTGGGAAATGTTTCCATCTCCCAAGAACCCCTGATTTTTGATATTGATCATCAATGATCAGTCTCATTGATGGGTTTGAGTGTTGGTTTCTCATGCTCTGCTCTGTGAGGTAAAAAAGATGTTAAAGTGCTGGAAAGCATCCAAAGGATGGACAGAGGGATGGAGAAGGGCCTGGAGCAGCTGAAGGATCTTGGATTGGGATCCCAGGGCACTGGGAGGACGTTTTCACCTCCCAATAATCCCTGGTTTCAGTTTAGTTGGTGGTTTTGGGGTGTTTCTCTCTCATGCTGGGAGCTGGGCTACGTGGAGGCCGTGTCCTGGCTGCCCAGCTCCGAGTACGGGATAGGAGAAGGTGAGGAGATCTTGGAGCACTGTGGGGAATGTTTCCAGTTCCCAGTAATTCCTGATTTCAGTCTCATTGATGGCTTTGAGTGTTGGTTTCTCATGCTCCGCTTTGTGAGGTAAAAAGGTGTTGGAAAGCATCCAAAGGATGGACACAGGGATGGTGAAGGGCCTGGGGCAGCTGAAGAAACTTGGATTGGGATTTCAGGGCCTTCCCAGTTCCCCATAATCCCTAATTTCAGTTTAATTGGTGGTTTTCAGTGTTCCTTTCTCATGCTCTGCTCTGTGAGGTAAAAAATGTGTGAAATTATTGGAAAGCATCCAAAGGATGGACACAGGGATGGTGAAGGGCCTGGAGCAGCTGAGGGACCTTGGATTGGGATCCCTGGGAATTGGGGGAGCCTCTCCAGCTCCCAAGAATCCCTCATTTCAGTCTTCCACACCCTTTCTCGCTCTCTGAACCTTGCACCTGGTGGAAATGTGGAAAATCCCACCTGAATCCCAAATATCTGCTGGGCAAACCCTTGGAAAGGAGAATGTTTGTGTGTGACAGCTGGGAATTCCTGAAATCACCAAATTTATGAGGGAAAACTCCGAAATCATCCAGGAATAACAATGGATCTGTGTAATAACGGGCACCCCATGGGATTTATTGGGATTTATTGGGATTTGGGATTGAATCTTGTCCTGATGAGGATTTTTCCTGCCCTCCCTGGAGCCTGGTGGATCCCACAGGGATAAAATTCCACTCAGGAGGCCACAGGTGCCGTTTGGGTGGATTTGAGCAGTTTCTGAGTGCTCACACCTATAAATGTCCCATAAAAGAGCGAGTGGGGCCTGAGGGAAATTGCAAACCTGGAATGTGCTCCCAAAGTTGTGGATTTTGGCTCCGGAGGCAGAGCAGGAGATTTCCAAGTGAGGAAGAGGCCGTGACATTGGAAAACAAACCTGGCTGGCCACGGGGTCACACAGGAGGGAGAATTACCAAGGAAATCCCAAATCCAGGGTCTGGGGGGCTCTTCCCATTCTGGTTTTGAGGGGCCCGATTTCTGTATTAATTTATTATTTTAATATTTTAAATAAATTTAAATGCATTAACCTAATATATTATCTATAACATAATTAAACTATAATTTTATTATTAATTTAATATAACATAATATTATTTTAATTATTTATTTAATTATAGTGTTAATTTAATATATTAATGTAATAATATATGTAATAAATATATTAATTTAATATTCCCATATGGATTGGAAAAGCCATTGGGTCAGAGTTTTTCCCAACATGACAACTTTCCTCTGGTCTTAAAATTTAATTAAATTAATAATTTAAAAGTTAAAATTTAAAGCTAATTAATTCAGTTAAGGAGTAATTATTTTATTTTGGTATTTAATGAGGATTCTCACGGTGCAGCATTTTGCCAAGGTGGAGCACACTGAAATGTACACTCACAATAGATCACGGATGGAATTTTAAAGACTTTGCAAATTAGGATATTTAACAAAAATGTCCTAATGAGAGACTAGAATGAATAGCCTGATTTTTTTTTTGTTTCAATTTTTAAATTTTATTTTATTTTTATTGTATTTTTATTGTCTTGGATGGGTTTAATCTTAGTTTATAGGATGAATTTTAGAGGGGACTTTGGTTTTTTAGGGTAGTGTAGGGTTTGTCTGCCTCTAACTGCGAGACTTTTGGGATGTTTGGGTTTTTGGTTTAATGGAATATCAGGGTTATGTGAGGTTATCAGACTGAAGGAATTACAAGTGTGCATGCTAAGAGCATTGAGAATGCATAAAAGGTGCATAAAAGAAAAGGAAAAAAATCGTCACGGCATCAAACGCATCAATCCTTGAGGTGCTGCTTTATTCACTTTGATTTTTCACATCTTGATTTTTCACACTGAGAATTTTCATCAGCATCCCTGGAGCAGCGCAGGCTGGAGGTGGATTTTTATTCCCAAATGGATAAAGGACAGGAAAATCCATGGGCCAGAGCTTTTCCCAATCCATCAATCCTTGAGGTGCCGCTTTTCACACCAAGATTTCACATCTTGATTTTCACACCGTGAGAACCAAGTGCCTCCCTGGCTTCCAGGTTCAGGAAACCCAGCCCAGATTCCTTCCCTTGGAATCTCAGTTGTGTTTTCCTCCTATTCCAGGGAAAATCTGGCCAGACAACATGCTCTGCTTGAGGTGCTGCTTTATTCATTTTCATAATCACCTTGATTTTTCCCACTGAGAATTTTCATCACTGATCCCCGGGGCAGCACAGGCTGGAGGTGAATTTTTATTCCCAAATGGATAAAGGAAAGGAAAATCGATGGGCCAAAGCTTTTCCCATTCCATCAATCCTTGAGGTGCCGCCTTATTCACCTTGATTCTCAACTGAGTGTGAGCCCCAGCAGCTTCCCTGGAATCCAGATTCAAGGAATCCAGCCCAGATTCCTCCTTTTGGAATCTCAGTTGTGTTTTCCTCCTTTTGCAGGGAAAATCTGGCTGCTTGAAAATCATGCACTGCTTGAGGTGCTGCTTCATTCACCTTGATTTTCACACCTTGATTTTTCCCACTGAGAATTTTCATCACTGATCTCTATGATGGATCTGATCACTGATCCCTGGGGCAGCACAAGCTGGACGTGGATTTTTATTCCCAAATGGATAAAGGATGGGAAAATCCATGGGCCAGAGCTTTTCCCAATCCATCAGTCCTTGAGGTGCCGCTTTATTTTCACACTGAATTACACAGCTTGATTTTCACACTGAGAGTGAGACTGAGCAGCTTCCCTGGCTTCCAGATTCAGGGAATCCAGTCCAGATTCCTCCTCTTGGAATCTCAGCTGTGTTTTCCTCCTTTTCCAGGAAAAATCTGGCTGGACAACGTGCACTGCACGGGCAAGGAGAGCAGCCTGGCTGCCTGTGGCTCCAATGGATGGGGCGTGAGCGACTGCAAACACACCGAGGACGTGGGCGTGGTGTGCAGCGAGAAGAGGATCCCTGGCTTCAAGTTTGACAACTCCCTGATCAACCAAATTGAGGTAATTGGGGTGAAAATGGTGATCCAAAGTGTCCTGGGGAGAGGGATGGTTGGAAGTGATGGAATTTGTTATTTATCATGTGTTTATCCTGCATGTTTGTTCATATTATCCATTTATCTCATGTTTATCACATATTTATTCATATTATCGATTTATCCCATATTTATTTCCAGTATTTATTCACCTTGATTTGCATACCAAGAATGAGACCCAGCATTTCCCTGACTTCCAGGGAAGATTCCCATATTTATTCACCTTACCAATATATCCTAATTTATTCACATTATCAACTTATCCTGTATTTATACCACATTATCAATTCTTCCCATATTTATTCCACCTATTCACGTTATCAATTTATCCCATATTTATTCCCATTGTCAATTTATCTAATGTCTATCCCTCATTGTCTCTTTATCCCATATTTATCCCACCTATTTATTCCCATTATCAATTTATCTCGTATTAATTCCCATTATCAATTTGTCATGTTTTTTTATCCCACATTTTCAGTTTATCCCATATTTATCCCACAAATTTATTCCCATTATCAATTCATCCCATATTAATTTCCATTATCAATTTATCCCACAGTTAGTCCCATTATCAATTTATCTCATGTTTATCCCTCATTATCAGTTTATCCTATATTTATCCCACATTATCAGTTTATCCCTTATTTATCCCATCTATTTATTCACATTATCAACTTATCCCATATTTATTCCCATTATCAATTTGTCACATGTTTATCCCACCTATTTATTCCCATTATCAATTTTTCCCATATTTATTCACATTATCAATTTTTCCCATATTTCTTCCACATATTTATTCCCATTATCTATTTATCCCACATTATCAATTTATCCTGTATTTATCCCACCTATTTATTCGCATTATCCATTTATCCCATATTAATTTCCATTATCAGTTTTTCCAATATTTATCCCACACTATCAATTTGTTCCATATTTATCCCACCTATTTATTCGCATTATCAATTTATCCTATATTTAGTCTCATTATCAATTTATCTCATGCTTTTCCTACATTATCAGTTTGTCCTATATTTATCCCACATTATCCATTTATCCCATATTAATTTCCATTATCAGTTAATCCCATATTTATCACACCTATTTATTCCCATTATCAGTTTATCCCATATTAATTCCCATTATGAATTTATCTCATGTTTATCCCATATTTATTCACATGATCAATTTATCCCATATTGATCTTATCTCTGGGGTTAAAATTTGGCTGCTCCTGGCTGGGCTGGAGAGACAAAATTCAGGTTCCAATTTCAGAAAGTCACATAAACAATAAGAATTTGAAACATTTTACTATAAATTATTCCAGTTCCTCATACAATTTTTCAAAACTGAAACTTGTTCTGTTAATATTTCAAAGAATTAATTTAAAGAGACAAAATCTGTGTTGTGCTCACAAAAATTCCTGACTTTTTAGTTCGAATGGACAAAAATCCTGAATTTTCTCTCCTCTTTTAACACTGGGATCAGTTTGGAGCTCTCTGGGCTAATGGGGGCAGTGGGAAGGTTTGGATTTGGGGTGGAATAATTCCTGTTTAATGGGAAGATATAAAGATATTTTTTGTGTTGTTTGGATGAGCAATGATGGAGAAGCCATGATAAAAATATGGGAATATTTGTGGGAATGTGGGATTAGGGCTGGAATTGGGGAAGTTGTGGGGAAGGTTCTGGGCTCTCGCTGGGAGGCTGAGGGGGAGATCTGGGGAAAGGACAGAACCAGAGGGGAAATGACAGAAATCCCATGGGATTTCTGCAGGATACAGAAATGCAGGAATGCTGGGCTGGAAGGGAGCTGGGATGAGCTCTTCAGAGGGGAAAAAAGGGATTATTTTTTCCTTTATCTCAGCTTGGCGAGTCTGTGGTGCTTCAGGCACCTCCCTTTTCTTGGATTTTTCACTGTCTCAATTCCCTGGCTGCCCTTGGCCAAAATTTATGGAAAGACCCCCCCTGTAAGGGTTTCCAGAGCTGCTTTTGGGCATCCAGGGAAAACTCAGGATGTGCTGCACATCCCAGTGTGGATGAACCCTGGGGTTTGTCTGTGAGCTGAAAGGGGATGAGAGGGAAGGAAAGGGAAAAGGGAAAAGGGAAAAGGGAAAAGGGAAAAGGGGAAAGGGGAAAGGGGAAAGGGGAAAGGAAAGGAAAGGAAAGGAAAGGAAAGGAAAGGAAAGGAAAGGAAAGGAAAGGAAAGGAAAAAGGGGAAAGGAAAAAGGGGAAAGGGAAGGGAAGGGAAGGGCTGCAGCTCAGGATCTGAGCGATTCAATTCCTTTCCTCACCCTGACCTCGCCTCCCCTGCCTTGGGAGGGATCATCCCCAGCTCCATCAATGGCTCCCTTGTGTCCCAGGGAATGAGGCGGGAGCATGGAACACCAGGGGTGGCTTTGGCTCCTGTGAAGCCACAGAGAGTCCTCAAAACACCTGGAAGAAAATCCGCTTTAGTCTAGACAGAGGTCACCTCATCCCGAGCTGCTCCAGGCGTTAATCACAGAGGCTTTGCGGGGCTCTGCCTTTCCATGAGCTCAGCACAGGGCTGGGGGAGTGGAACTCCTCAGATCTTTGGGAATGAGCTCGGCTGCTGCTCTGAGGGTGCTGAAATTTCAGATGAATCATGAGACTGAAGTGATTCCTGCAGCAGAAGCCTCCAGATCAGCAGGAGGAGGGGATGGAAAAGGGAGGAATGGATTTATTTTTGAGGAGCTGTGCTGAGTGGGGTGGAAGTGCTGCATTTCCTGGGCAGAGGCTGCTGCACCCCCTGCCCATCCCCTGCCTGCCTCACACTGACAGAGAGAGCAGGTTAAAATTAGAAATCAGGGAGAAAACCTTCCCTGAGAGGCCAGGGAGGGGCTGGAATGGAATTCCAGAGAAGCTGTGGCTGCCCCTGGATCCTTGGAAGTGCCCAAAACCAGGCTGGAGCACCCTGGGAATTGCCCCTGCCCATGGCAGGGGTGGCACTGGGTGACTTTGAGCTCCTTTCCCACCCAAACCATTCCAGGATTCTGGTTTTCCCTGAGTGATTTTGAGCTCCTTTCCTACCCAAACCATTCCACAATTCTGTTTTTCCCTGAATGACTTTGAGCTCCTTTCCTACCCAAACCATTCCAGGATTCTTTATCTTCCTAAATGATTTTGAGCTCCTTTCCCACCCAAACCATTCCATGATTCTGTTTCTCCCTGAACGATATTGAGCTCCTTTCCCACCCAAACCATTCCAGGATTCTGTCTCTCCCTGAATGATTTTGAGCTCTTTTCCCACCCAAATCCATCCAGGATTCTTTATCTCCCTGAATGATTTTTGAGCTCCTTTCCTACCCAAACTCTTCCAGGATTCTTTATCTTCCTAAAGGATTTTAAGCTCCTATCCAACTCAAATCATTCCACGATTCTGTTTTTCCCTGAATTATTTAAGCTCCTTTTCCACCCAAATCATTCCACAATTCTGTTTTTCCCTAAATGATTTCAAGCTCCTTTCCTACCCAAACCCTTCCAGGATTCTTTATCTCCCCGAATAATTTTTGAGCTCCTTTCCTACCTAAACCATTCCAGGATTCTTTATCTCCCTGAATTATTTTAAGCTCCTTTCCTACCTAAACCATTCCAGGATTCTTTATCTCTGAATTATTTCAAGCTCCTTTTCCACCCAAATCATTCCACAATTCTGTTTTTCCCTGAATGATTCTGAGCTCCTTTCCCACCCAACCCCTTCCAGGATTCTGTTTCCCCCTGAATTTCACCAACCTTCCCACAGCACCACTGCTTCCATTCTGTAAAACCCAGCTGGTTTTTCTTCCCTCCCTATAAAATAAAATCCTTGGAGCTGCAGGGCTCCTTCCCTGCTGCTTTCCCTGAGCAGTTTCAGGGCTGGAGGTGAGCAGCTGGGATGTTTTGGATGCCATCGTGGCAGCTCCTTGCACTCACAACAGGCTGTCAAATGTTCCAGCTCCTTCCCCCTCTGAGTTTTGCCACTCTTATCTTTGCTTTATCTCCCCAGCAGCCAGTGGGGCACAGCTGGGGATAAAAACAAGAAACAGGGTGACCCAGGGGGTCACAAACCTGAACTGGGGGGTTCAAAGCCTCCTGTGAAGGCGAGTTTGGAAGTTTTTGCCCTTCCCAATGCTGGGAATTGTGCAGGTCATTCCTCACACTCACCAGGGGAAACATCGTCATTTGTGAGCTCCTGGTTCCTGCTGCAGCCCAGAGCTTCTCCCAGTGATGTTTTCCCTTTGGAATGAGGGGTGAAGGGGCTGGAATTTCCTCTGAGCTCTGCTGTGGTCAGGACTCTCCATGAGGTTTTGCGCTGACAGAGCAGAACCAGCGCAATCCCACCAGGATTCCCAGGGGAACAGATCTGTCCGTTTGTCCTTCAGCTGCTGCTCAAGCCAGGCTTTACTAAAACAGGCCTGGCTGGAGGTGCTAAACTGAGCCTGGGTGCTGGATCCTGCATTCCCACCCTGGCTGTGATTCCCAAATGGATGTGACTGTGCCCAGCCCGTGGATTAACAGGAGTGAGGGCGGATTTTGGTGCCTGTGATCAGAGGGAACAGCTGGAGCTAGGCCAGGGGAGTTCAGTTGGGTATTGGGAAAAGCTTCTTCACCCTTAGGGTGGCCTTGGGCACTTGCAGGTATGCAGGAGCAGCCACAGCCCCTCTGGGAATCCCATCCCAGCCCCTCTGAGCTCTGCTGTGGTCAGGAGTCTCCATCAGCTTTTGCGCTGACAGAGCAGAACCAGCGCAATCCCACCAGGATTCCCAGGGGAACAGATCTGTCTGTTTGTCCTTCAGCTGCTGCTCAAGCCAGGCTTTACAAAACAGGCCTGGCTGGAGGTGCTAAACCGAGCCTGGGTGCTGGATCCTGCATTCCCACCCTGGCTGTGATTCCCAAATGGATGTGACTGTGCCCAGCCCGTGGATTAACAGGAGTGAGGGCGGATTTTGGTGCCTGTGATCCAAG